GTGAGAATCGACGGAAGACGGAATACGTGGTCAACCCCCCACCCCTCTTGGCCTTGGGCACTGGGCCCTAATAAAAGGACAGTTCTTAAATACGAGACAGAGCCGACTACCGTCTTCACCCGGGGCAAGGTCCCACTTGCACGGATTACGAGAATCTGGCCATTGATCTTCTTTATCTACGGTCAATATCGCTTAATTCGTGTAAGTGGGACCTAGCCCCACTGCTGTTATTCGGTTGGGGGTGGGGGACGATGAAAAGAGAGGCGCAGCTACTGGCAAAATGCTCGGGTCTTTGCGTTAGCCGGACCCCCACCGGCGGCCCCACCCCATCCTTGACCACCATGGTTGGGGCTGGGGGCAACATGCATCCCCTCTGATGGCTGGAGGGAGACAACAAAGCTATGTTTGCAGGGGTCCGTCCGCTGTCTAAGCCTTAGGAGTAGTGGTAGGTAGGTAGTGAAGGTGAATTGAAAGAATTTGAAAGATGATGAAAAGATTTGAGAGAAGAATATAGCGTAGTTAAAAAAAAAATTAAAAAAAAATTAAAAAAGTTCGGGCGAAGACGGGTAGTGAGAGGATGAGATAGATGCGCACTACCAACAAAGATGAAATAGATGAGAGAAGAATTAAAAAAAAAAAAAAAGAAGAAAAAAAGTATAGATAGGTAGCATCGTGAGACGCCACCATAGTCGACAAGCACTGCTTCTCCGTTCGGTGACACGCAGGAGTCGATCTACTACCGCATCCAGTCAACGCTACATCAGCAGGACTCCGTTTGCTTCCCTGGTGGTGGTGACGTGCGGCCTCGCTCCACTACTCCTCCAAATGCACAAAAGACAAAAATCATGGCAGTGTATTTTTCTATGTTCTAGCGGAAGATTCACTCTCGTTTTGCAAATGTCGAGAGTAGTCGAGTGAGGCCCATGCAGGACTCTCTTTCCCTTTTTTTTGTTTCTCTCATGAAGGCGATGGCCTTGAGATATGATCATCAAACTGACCGGCCCTTAGCTAGGGGATTCAAGATTGTAGTATGCTCTACTCAGGGTGTACTCACACTAGCAGTATCTCAAATGTATCTGACCGCATTCCCGCCATAGCTGGATGTATCTGGCCACAGTTCCGTCCAAAAATTACGTAAAAACGTAGTAGTGTGAGTATGCCCTCATTTGAGTTCGAACTGGTCTCTATTTCAACAGTTCATGAGATGGTTCTTTCTTAGGGCCAGATCCCAGTGGTAAAGAGGATTGGAAGAAGCCTGAATCTGGACGTGTTCCACGCAGAGGTGCAGAAAAGTAGATCAATCACAATTTTTTGCACCTTTCGACAAACACACGTCCATCTGGACGTGTTCCACGCAGAGGTGCAGAAAAGTAGATCAATCACAATTTTTTGCACCTTTCGACAAACACACGTCCATCTGGACGTGTTCCACGCAGAGGTGCAGAAAAGTAGATCAATCACAATTTTTTGCACCTTTCGACAAACACACGTCCAAATTAGACATTTCTTCCAATCCTCCTTGCCAGTGGGATCTGGCCCTTAGGGATTGTAGGCCAGCATTGTGACTTCAGGACTGATTCTTACAGAGCTGACAAAGACGAGTTGAAATTTCTTTTTGCTGGGCGGAGTGCCTGGCTCATCCCTGTGGGCCGTGGCTATTCATGTGAGGGACGCTGGGCCCGTTTCCCAGCTTGTAATTGAAAAAAGGTCCCTTTTTGTAAAAAAGAAAAAAAAAAGAAAAAAACAGTTCATCAACTGAGCTAGGCCAGTTGGTGGCCCATGAATGCACCAATTCAAATCTGTAGTAGTGGCAGGGAGGTAGTGAAAGGCAAAAAGAACTTGAAAGAAGAACAGAGCGTAAGTTTAGAGGGGAAAAAAAAAATAAAAAATTAACGGAGGGTTTATTAAGAAAACATAAAATTGAAAAAATACGGAGGAATAAAAAAGAAACGGAGGACTGTTTTTCTTTTTTCTTTTTTTTTTCTTTTTTTTTTTTACCAAAGGAGGCATACGACGTCGCTGCAAGCACAGATTCTGACTTAGAGGCGTTCAGTCATAATCCCACGCCTTTCTCCTTTCTCCTTTTTTTTCCCTCAATTTTCCGGCGCCTGTCTGGTAACCTTTCTGAGGAGAGCGGCGAGCTTGGGAACGGAGATGGTGAGAAATCGTGTAATTTGACTACCGCTCTACTGCATCCAGTCAACTTGTCGCTCAGATACATCAGCAGGAAAATACGTGTCCGACTAACTACTTACGCCCTGAGCGAGCGGACAGAATCTGTCTGTTCTGTAAACGATCCGGCGGGTTGCTCGACGAGTCGTCGTCGTCGTCGTCGTCGTGGCGCTCGTGGTGGTCCCCACGAATCCTCGTCAAACGAAAATCACTGGCTAGCAACTGCGGTACAGAATCAAGGAGATGCAGCAGCGATCGTTCCCCCTCCCCCCCCCAACCCCCCTTCCCCGGCCGACGCCCGTTGTAGACAACCCACGATCGCTGCACAATAATTGTATACTACCAAGTATATTTCCACCGCCGCCTCGCCCCCGCCTTCGACCCGACGCGCGCTGCTCCGCGCGCTGCTCCGCGCCTTCACCCCGCCCGCCATACCTCGCTTCTCCTCGCCTCGTTGCCTTCCCGCTCAGCGCAAAAACGTGCCGAATCGGGACCCAGCCCCGGCTGATTCGGGGGATCGCGGGTAGGACCGCGAGCTCCGGCTTTTCGTTACGTTCCCGCCCAGCTCAATGACTTCGGCAAAAATACGCGCGCTGATTGCAACTGCGCTCGCTGCAACCGTTAGTTTTCCCGCCACCTGCTGGACAAGAAAAAAGAGCCGGAGCAAAATTGGAGAGTACACAGAAGGAGGTACTGCGGGATAGAAGAACCCCTCGTCACTCGGAAGGGCCGTTTAGCAGATCGCAATAGCGGGTATAAAAAGAACCGGTCGACACTCGGGAGGGCAGTGTAGCCGATCGCCATAGCTTGGGAAAGACCCCTTCCAGTCGATCGCCATAGCTTGGGAAAGAACCCTTCGTCGATCGGGAATGGCTGTCCAGTTGATTGATCTCGATCGTGGAGCTGCAAAGACGGCGACATATAGGCGCGGCTTGCACGTCGGTCGATGCATGTAGTCCAGGTGTTTTCGCATATAGACTTACACTGGGCACTTCGCTGTCCCTATATGCATCTGACCGCGTTTATGTCCAGATCCTGTAGAAAAACTCCCGGTGTGAATAATATTCCTGACTGCTCACGACGCAAAATCGAAATTCGCGGCACCGCGTTTTGTCCTAAAACTAGAGCAGGTGTTTTTTTTTTTTGTTTTTTTTTTTTTTTGAACTTTTCAGAACAGGTGGGGTATTACTTTTTAGAGAGGGAGCGCAGGGAGGGCGTTCGTTGTACGGATCTGCAACCCTCGGTGGTTAGTCGGGGGGGAGGAGGAAGAAGAAAGGAGGGAGGCTATGGAGGGCAGTGATTTTCGTTTGACGAGGATTGGTGGGGACCACCACGAGCGCCACCAGCCCACCGCATCTCGGCATCCATAGCCCTGCTACGGAAGGGGAGAAGAACACGCGTCCCCGACCTGTATAGACGGAACTATAAGCGCTTTCTTTTTCTCTGTCCGCTGCGCAAAGCCATAGGAACTTAGTGAGATCTGTTAGATGAGAAGGTAGGTGTGAGATCTGCAGCGGCTGGTAGGTAGGTATAAGGAAGGAAAAAAAAAAAGGTAGTGAAGGTGGTCGTGAAAGGAAGTCGGTTTGCAATTGCAAGGTATATGTATGGTATGGTGTCATGCATCGATATGTGATGAAGCTTTCAATTGAGGGAGTCAAAGGCAACGTGCTTGAGTGATTGACCGGGAGGGGACACTATTCATAAGCTTTTGCCTTGTGTTCTCGAGCTTTCGGCTGAAGAAAACGTTTTAGTGGGCTGCTGGCGTCATGGAAACCATTTTCGATTTGTTACCCCAACTGGGACTGCAAAGGGAAGATAGGAGGAGAACCGACGGGAATCGAAAAACGTAGGGACAGAAGCTGTGGGTATAGAATTACGGGACAGTGGATTTTATTATAGTTTTATAGCTTTAGACTGACCGTCTCAGTTCTTAGGAAGACCGGTGATCGTTTAGATTGTCAAGTGCATGGGCGGTAGGCAATTATCGATCGTGCACGAGAGGCAACTGGAATGAATCTCAGGGTGTTCTTGGGACTCCGATGCTAGTTCTGTTTGCGCTTCTTGTTGAAAGAACTGCGTGGAAATCTGGTACTTTTACTCCTCGACACGGGTTTTTCTTCAACTAGAAAGCACAGAGAGAGAGAGAGAGAGAGAGAGAGAGAGAGAGAGAGAGGAAGATTATGATATGCTTCAGTAGAAAGAATTGCACGGGTTATGTACTGATCTTCGCGTGTACAGTGGTCGACTTGCGTTTCGTAGTTGTTGATGGTCATGTGATGAAGTGCTCGACGGATTGGTCGGTTGGTCGGGCGTTTAATTTCTTAGTTGTTGATGCTCGTTTGTAAGTTTTTTTTTTTTTTTTTTTTTTTTTTYTGGATTGACGGACTGATCGTGTGATGAAGTGCCCGGCAAATTGGTCGGTTGGTCGGTCGTTTAATAAATGTAGTTACCTGATCTCGTATTGACTTGTCTACTCGCTGATCGATCGATCGATCGATCGATTTGTAGTATGCCGGTTGATCGATCGACAGTTTGATCGACTTTGGATTTCCTTGCTTGTTTGATTTTCTACATTGATTGATTGATTGATTGATTGATTGTTTGATTGATTGATTGAACGGAGGGTCTTGTGGATGTATTCATGCTGAGCGATTGTGGAAGGCAAGAAACGAAGCCCTTGTTGATTAGGAGGCTTAATTAATTCCCTCGCTTGTGGGTGTACTTGTGGTGAGTGATTGTGGCTTAATTCCCGACGCGAAGCCGCTTGTTGAGTGGGAGGAGGCGTAATCCAGTACTCCTGGTCCAGTGAGAACGGAATTGAAGACCGGGCGGTTCTATTGGTGGTGGTATTACGCTAGGTGATAGATACCTATTATTACCCATTGTTTTTCCTCTTCTCCCCTTTCTGGCCATTCTTCAGCTTTTTTTTCCCCCTTTCTAAAAGCCAGCGGTCTCATTTCCGCCTCAACCGTTGTTAAGTCACAGTTTTTCTTTCCCTTCTCACTTCATTTTTTCTACCCACTCAGCGCGATGGCATGCGCTTTGTTCGCACCCAGAGGAGCAGCGACGCTTAATAGCATGGTGACGTCCTGGAAAATGCCGGGAACCTTGCGAGTCAATGGTCATGGAAGACGAGGAGACGTCGGCTGCATCCCCCGATCGTGGGGCGTCGCGGTGGTGGCTTCAACCCTGTCCAGGGAATTGCCGACCAGGCTGATGATCACACGTCGTCGGTCGATTGCTGTAGGGGTATTTGGGGGTCATTGTCACGCTACCAAGTCTAGCTGGGCATCTCGTTCCTGGTTGGATTGGGATTGTTACTGCTCCCCGTCGTTGACTAGCGTTTCCTGTTCAAATTGGCCGCCAAGTAGCGCTGATCGTCCGCCAGCGAGGGGGCGAGTAGGAGGAGGAGGAGGAGGAGGAGGAGGAAGAGGTGGTGGAAAGATGATGACAAAGCCGCCGAGCGATTACTGGCTAGGATCGGGATTTTGGACGCAGAGAGGGGTAGGAAAGGGTGCGTTATTTTCAAAGAAGGGACCAGGTGTCTTCTTTGACGAGGAAGACGAACGATTGGTCGTAGACCACGGGAGGAGGAGGAGGGAGAGGAGGAGGAGGGGGAAGGTATGTTACTTGCCGCGTGGGGCGGCAGGGGACGGTAGCGGAGGTGGTGGAGTGTCGTCGATGGGTTCTCCTGCTGGGAGCGGAAGGGAGGGAGACTCCGGCGGCGGAGCGATGGACGACGGGTTTGGAGGCCGGGTTGGGGGAGGTGGGGTACTGAAAGGGGGGGTGTTTGGTGGGGGTGGGAAGGGGTCGTCGACGTCGCTGGACGGTCGGCGACCGGGGATCAGCCGACTTCTAGTTGAGTACAAACTCTCGGATTTCGACGTCAGCCGCCACGTGGGAGTTGGTTTGGCGGGAAAAGCTGATGAGGCTGTGTTTGAGGCGGTGGTCACCAAACCGGACAGCCCGATACGAGGGAAGAGGGTAGTGTTGAGGAAGTTGAGTGGAAGGAGGGCGCGGAGATGGGGGATGCGGGCCTTGGAAGTTTTCCCGCGCTTGGTCCGTGGAGAGGATCGTTATCACCCCAGCACGACACGGTTGCATGGATACATCTCATCTCCCTCGTCATCGTCGGATGTGACTCTTAAACACGACCCGAGACAGGAGAACGGAGCGAGAAAAAAGGAGGGAGGAGGAGGAGGAGGAGGAAAGGAGGAGGACGAAGAGGACAACGAGGAGCTGTTTCTCATTCATGGGTATTACGGGAATTATTCGTTACATCAGTGGCTGCTGATGTCTGATTGGCTGCCACATCTCGAAGAAAAGCTGGCGGCTGGCAAGAAACTGGCAGGAGATGGGGGGGTAATCGGAGGCGGAGGCAGATCGGAAGTCTCGAGGAAGCTTCTTCTCGTGAGGATGATCATCCGTGACATCTTGATTAGCATTAATTACCTTCACAACAACGGCTTGGCTCACACATCGCTAAGGCTGCAAGATATCCACGTCAGCGCAGCTGATCGCCATGTCAAGGTTGGCCTCTTGGGCAACGCGGTGGATTTGCCACCACGGTCTGACTATAGTAGCAGTGGTGGTAAGGATCCCGACTTCTCCTCCTCCTCCTCCTCCTCCGCCTCCTCCTCCTTCTCATCATCATCATCTTCCACGTCATCGACGTGGTCTTCGTCAGCGGTGAACATGGAAGCGATCCGAAGGAAGGTAATGATATCGAGGGACATCAAGTGTGTTGGGGTCGTGATGGCGAGGATGGTCTTGAGCCAGCTGCTGGCGGAAGCGAACTTTGCCAAGTTTCGGGCTTTCCTCCGACAGGGTAATGACCCTGCCACTCTGCGGGAGTTCATGCTACCGATGATCCGCGATGTCAGGGGGAGGAAGAAGAGAAGAGGGGGCGAGGAATGGAGGAGGAGCGGCGGGATGGAAGTCGAAGAGGAGGAGGGTGGGGAAGAAGATCACGTGATAGGCCTGCAGATCTTGGACAGAGATGGTGGTGCGGGATGGAGCTTGTTGGGAGCGTTGTTGGCGGCCAATCCGTCGGAGAGAATCAGCTGTGCCGAAGCGTTAAGACATCCGTTTCTCTGTGGGCCAAGATGGACCACAGGACCGAGCCTAGAATTTACACGCTGGGTCATAGGCTCGGCGGCGGGTCGGATAGTAGAAAGGTATATGTACCTGAACCAGCAGAGAGAGAGACTTTGGCAGTTGATCTCCACGCTGGAGCGAATGAACGGTGCTGGATCAAGCTGGTGCAACCAGCTCGTGCGCTCATCTCTCTTCCGTCCTCATCCTCCTCCACTCCCTGCCGCTCACGTCGCAGCTAAGGAGGGCCAACCTAACAGCAACAGCGCGTCGCCTGCCGCACACTCATCCCGCCTTAAACCCCCCACAGGTAGCATCAACAACAGTAGTATTCCATGGCAGTGGCGCTTGGCTTATCACACTGGTCGACTCGTCGGATTAACGAGGCGAAAGCCATCCCCTCACGTTCGTATGGGGCATGTCATGATGACCATCTCGCGGCAGCAAGCCGATTTCGCGCCTTCGTCTTCGTCTTCATCTTCTTCTGCGTCTTTATCCACGTCTTCGTCTCGTGGCGTTGGCTTATCCGTCGAAGTGGTGGCCAGGTTCACTATCATGCCGGAAAGTGAGCCATGGCCGCACGATAAGAGTGGAATGAAGGGTACCTTACGCGTCCGCAGCGGAAGCTGTTACGGTTTCTTAACGACCACGGAGGCAGGGGCAGGGGTTGTGGGGGGGAGGGAAAAGGGGGGGGGGAAAGGGGGGGGGCGAGTTGTTCGGGGAGGAGAGTCTACCCCGACACTACAGCGTCCGAGCGCAATCGATGGATATATCAGCGATGGGCGACAGAAAATCACTGCGGTGGAACTGCCAGTGGAGGGGCAAAAGGGCCTTCGGGGTGATGGAGATGGTACTGGGTACGGTTCCGAGAGGAGGGGGGAGGAGGAGGAGGAGGAGGAGAGTGAAAATTTGAGGGGTAACCAGGAACGAGAGCTTGCCGAAGATGCAGAGGGAGAGAGAGGTAGCAGTCCTTCCGTAGGTAAGGAGAGTAGTCGGCGCAAAATTGATCAACGACGAACTACTTCTATTTCCTCTCGAAGTTGGCTGAGGAGAAGAAATGCACCTCTGCCTTCATCTGTTAGAGATGGTTTGCACCTAAATGATGATGATGATGATGATGGCGATGGCGATGATGCGAATGGTAATGGGTTGAGTCCTGTACTGCGCTTCGATTTTGGAACAAACGGAGAGGATGAAGAGTCCATATCTGTGGAGTTGGACTATCGCGGCAAGGACGTGGATTTTATGATGAGGATTCTTAACGAGGTCCAGCGTCAGCTTCCTATGGATTTATTTCACGTCTCCAGACTGGCCTGCGTGACGTACATTGATAATCGCATGCTTATAGTCCGAGGCATCAGCGGTACAGCCATGCTTTTCCTGAAATCCACTGGCATAAATTCAGACGATGGGAATGAGCGTCGAAAGCCATCATCATCATCATCATCATCGCCACTATCGTCCTCAGAGTGAACTAATGCTTGACCCAGCTTGGGCTGTGGCTCCGCGGTAGGCTTGTGTACTCCATGTAATTGATCCCCTTCGGATGCACGGATGTGACGGTGCAACAGTTCCGCCGCAGGTCATAAAAAGGATTTTTTTTTCTTTTTTTTTTTCTTTTTTTAAGCATTGCGGGTTGTTTCCCGGCCATGTATTCCGGGGAATTTGGCGGACCCACCCATCCATTTAGAGGGCAAGGTGATTGCTGTACGGGGCTTGCAAACGGGAACAGATTCACTTCACCAAAACGGGAAAAAATGCCATGACGAAGAGCGTTGAGGTGGGGAGATGGCAGCAAAGAGGGGGGGGGGCGCGCGGGGGAGGCAGCGGGAAAAGAGGAGGAGGAAAGCTGATAGCGAAAGCTGATAGCTTTGTTTCTTCCTTTCTTTATTTTTCTATCCCTCTCGGTTCTGAAAGGCAATGTAATCCCCCAGAATAGAGTGGGAATGTGACCTGCCGCCGGCTGCAGTGTCTAGCGTCATCACACGAATAGAACGCCCGGTCATTGCTACTGCATCTAGACTGGAAGGTCCGCCATATACAGATGTAATGAGCGGGCGTTTAATTCGGGTGAAAACGGTAGTAGCGTTGTGCCAAGGTCTTGCCGAGGGTAGCGAGGGTATGCTGCACATAGCTTTAGAAAATTTTACTTTTCTCTGAAGTTTCCCACGATGTTCCTGTTTTTTTTTTTGTTTTTTTTTTTTTGTTTTTTTTTTCCCCACACACTCCCCCTCCACTTTTCTCTTGTTCTATTCACCATGAAAGTCGGGTGACAGCAGCAGCACGCGGCTGGGAGAAGGGTTGACACTGACGTCAACTGCCTGCAACGTTTTTGCTGGCTGTGCTCTCATCTTCCTGGTAAGTGTAATTTCCACCGTAATCACAGAGGAAGTATAGACGGTTGGGTTAGGATGGGAAAGCCGGAGAAGGTGGTTGCCCGTCTATTCCCTCCCTCCCTCCCTCCCTCCCTTCCTTCTCTGTGATCCTCCTGCTCACCTCGCGATGTGATTTGTACATTCTGTTCATCCTTTTTATCTCAATTCGAATTTAGATTGTTTTCATAATTTCCTTCTTATGCCTCCCAATCCGAATTTTAGGCACGTTGTTTGTAGAACAATAAACAGCCGTTTGTAAGCGGGAGGAGAAGGAAAGATTGTTTTGAGCAGAGAGAGAGAGAGAGAGAGAGATCTGCGGAGAGTGGATAGTAGGTGGGAAGAGAAAGGAAAGATTATCTGTAAAGCTCTTTCCAAATCTGTCGCCAAGAGAGAAAGGTTGCTCTTATACAACTTCGTTCTTAAAAACGTGTTTCGACATCTTTCTTCTCTGTTCTTTCTTTCTTTCTTTTTTGTTTTTTTTTTCGTAATGCATACTAATAATTTGTTTTTTTGGAACAAAGCCTGTCAAAGGTTGGAGCAAGGTGTCTGTATGTGTGACTATTAATTGAGGCAAAGAAAGCGTTTTGTGTGGTCGTGTCCGACATGAAGGTTGAGTGTGTGTGTTCCTTTCCAACTGAGCTTATTGGGAATAGTGCGGATCGAAATTCGATTGGAATTATATTTCCTAACGGAGCTATTTTTAAGAATAGGGATGAATGCATTGTTCTGAGTTTTTTGTGTTCAAAGTGTGAAGGTGCTGTCTTTTGGGATCATCATAAAAGCAAACTCGGCAAAACTGGACTCGAATAGTAGCAGAGCCCCAGAAACTTCAGCAAAAAGAAAACATACACACACAAACCCATGCTGCGCACACCCAAGATAGTCTCACCATCAATGATTCCCATCTACAGTGGCTTCGCCTGTGGCATCATCGCAGAAGTGCTTCATCTTGCGAGTACGACGAGAGCTGGACCTTGACGCACTGGCAATACTCTTTCAAGACCCTTTGCCTCCTCCAAGCTGCCACAGCTACCGTGGCATGTGATGGGATGCAAACGACAAATTAAATGTTTGATTCAGGGCATAAATGACAGCAAAGCGCCCTTCTTCTGGAGCGCTGATCGCTGTCCTCAAGGTCCAGCTCTCGTCGTACTCCCAAGATGAAGCACCCACAAAATTGGATAAAGGCACCCACGAAATTGAAAAAAGGCCTTCCACTCCTTACCTCTGTTAAGACCTCTCAGCCAACAGGTGGTCTGAAAAGGGTAGCTGGTCTGCTACCCTTATGATAGAATTCAAGATCTAAGTGCCAAAACATCAGAGTTGTCTTCTTGTGACTACCTTAGTATTACAGACTGTGCAGAGCCTAGTCCTACCGAACTTAACAATTTAAACTAAACCTGTTTTAATCACCAGCTGGGAAACTGGCCCAGCGTCCCCTTTGTGGGCCAACTCGCAGAGGGAGTGAAAGAAGCATACAACTGCAAAAAAGGGGGGGGGGGGGGGGGGGGGCGGCTATTGTCCCTGCGAGATATACCCAGCTTTAGAAATTAAGAAGAGTTCAAAAAGGCTTCAGAGTTAACCACGAGGAGAGTACGAGTCTCCCATTGCTTCCAGGCTTAACCAGACACTGTTTTGTGCCCCAGGTGTTCCAGAACCAGGCAGTTCCTTTTCTGGCTGATCCGCCTTTTGCTCTGCGGAACCAATCTGCCCAGATGCAGTGCATTGTCGACATGTAGCTCGAATTGTAGCCTTGAGTTGCACATCTGCACAACGCTCTTGTCGAAAGACATGCAAGTTCCTTTCACCCCAGATGGTTGACAACAGACTGCCTCTGAAGGTTTGAGCCACATAGCAGGCCGCTGAGTCGCCCATATTGGCGGTAGAAGGGATGCCAGAAAGGATGAACTCGTCCGCCCAATCAAAGGATGCCCAGGAAGCTTCGACCAGTGTCTGCGCCACCAGGACCAGATTCGTTTTGAGAATGGGCAATCCAGCGAGAGATGTTTTCCCATGCCCACTGACAGCGCGCACAGCTTGCAGAGACATCCATGCCTCTACCCACCAGAAACGCAGCGGAGGCAATCACCAGCATGGACTGTTGCCACAGTATACTTCTCAGTTTGACTGAGGGCATAACCTTGAGTAGTTTCCAATGCTTGACCTGAATGTCTTTTCCCCATATGCGATAAGTGCCTGTTCCTGTCTGTATTTGCTCAAAAGCTTGAAAGGACTATTAGGTGGTTGTTCTCTGAGAAGTCCTGTGGCTATTTTGGATGTGTACAGATGCATTGGAATCGAAGACTGTCTTTGTTGAGTCGAGGTAAGCCAGTGCCACCTCGTGGGATCCAGTTTGAGTTCAGCCAGAGGGGTACCTCTAAATTTGACTACTGGATGGGCTATTCCATGGTTTTTTTTTTTTTTTTTTTTTTTTTTTTTAATGGGACAAAGAGCTCCAATCTATTCGTGGGGAGCAGCATGTGCTGGGAACCAGGCCCAGCGTCCCATACAGAATTATACAGATAATTCGAGAAATGATTTGAGATACCAGGGCCATTACCTGGCATTCGGCTAAGAACACCATGAAAAAGTTTAAGAAAATTTTTGGATAGCAACTAACCTACCGACCTATTACAAGGTTTTTGCTTTAAAGAACCTAAAAAGCAAGAAGACAGGAAAAGGAAAACCACCCCCAATCCAACTCCTTCCCCGCACCGCAGAAGAAAGACTAATGCCCAGGCCTTCAGTCCTCGTACCAGAACTCACTAGATCTCATGGTCTGGATTCGGATCAACTTCGCATTCCTCCAGCAGAAGACTCTGGGAGGCAGATCTCTCTGAGTCAAAACAGAGGGGGAGATCATCGGTCGCACTGCAATCTGCGATCCAGGTCTGAAGTGTGGGAGGATTCAGATCAATTCCTTTAATAAGTCTGTAGTAGACCTGCTTCGAGTCGAATTGGTGGTTTAAACCACCTGTACTTCCTAAGGTTCAGCGGACGTAGGCTGAACGAATGGTGCCCACACGGAAACCGCCAAAATTCATCCGACAAGTATCGCTTCCACATTATTTTTTCCCGGCGGCCGATATATGGTTGAAGTTCTGGTGGTTAAGCTTTCCCCTCTAAATGCAATAATGGAGCTCTGCATGGTTTGCTTATCCACTATACTTCCTATAAAGTAGTACAAACAGGGAACCAAGATACTACCTGGAGTTGCTCATACCAACCCACCCCCGGCGCCAGGGGACAACCCTAGACAAGGTGTTTTCTCCAACCGAAAAGTAAAAAGAAGAAAAGGTTGCATGATGCTGCGGAACCTATTCATCCAGTGCTGATAGAAGAGGAATCAGACTCATCGTTGGAATATATGCCAAAATGCCCCTATAAGATGTGGGTAGAGCGGGATACCCCTCTGACACAAAATTTGTTTTGCGAAATGCCCCTGGTGCCGGTTGGACCTGTCATCTTTGCAAAATACCCCTTCCGGGTACTGTCCACGTTTGCAAAGTGTCCTGATAGTTGCCATCTTTTTCCAGGCTTTATGTATTTTACCCCTAGTGGCTCAGGTGATCTTTGTGTTTTGCCCACTCGCTGTGCGTGTGTGCCTATGTGTGTGTGTGTGTGTGTGTGTGTGTGTGTGTGTGTGTGAGAGAGAGAGAGAGAGAGATGGGAAGCGGAATTGTGCAAGGGATAGCGGGAAAGTGAGAGAGAGAGAGAGAGAGAGAGAGAGAGAGAGAGAGAGAGAGAGAGAGAGAGAGTTTTCCAGCCATACCCCAAAGAGATATTGAGAGGCTACTTCCATCCATAGGATGAGCAAACTAGGAATGAATCTTCCAGTCAAAATGGAAATGTACACTTCTTTCCAGACGTGAGCGCACAGAAATAGAGAGGGGCTACATCCATCCATAGGACGAGCAAAATCGGAATGAATCTTTCGCTAGATTGTGGAAATATGCACTGCCAATTTTTTTTCCTTTTTTTGTGTTTTTTTGTGTGTGTGTAGTGAATATGACAACACACACAAGTGCGGCAGTGTATAGTTCCATGTTCTTGTGCTAGATTCATTCGATTTAGCTCATCCTATCGATGGAAGCAGCTTGCGGCCAGCCGTGGGGTTGGAGACTTACCTGTTGGCCAGCGGGTTGCTCATCCTATCGATGAAAAACTCTCTCTCTCTCTCTCTCTCTCTCTCTCTCTCTCTCTCTCTCTCTCTCACACACACACACACACACACACACACACACACACACGCACGGGAGGAAGATGAATGAAGCTGCACACACACACACACACACACACACACACACGGGAGGAAGATGAATGAAGCTGCCGAACATGGAGGCAAACTGCCCCGCCGATGGGACTGGGTATTGCGCAAAGTTGCCCACCCGGTATGGAGGGCAGACCGGGTAAAACAGTGTGCAGGCCCAGGCCCCAATGATGCAGTCCAGATTGCAAATTTGCACATGGGTCTGACAGGGGTGAAACGCAAAGAACTAGGCCCAAAAGGGCATTTTGCTCTATGCACATCTTTTAGGGGCATTGTGGCATATATCTCAACTTATAGGGGTATTTTGCAAATTATCCCAAAACACAATTCTTCAGCCCAAAAAACAAGAAAGCAAAAAACGAAGAAGGCCCGTGACTGAAGAGAAGTTTGGAGAGAGAGAGAGAGAGAGAGCAGACGCGCTGCAGCCGCTGCTCCCGATATGCAAAATAAGAATGAATCTTCCACAAAAATGCGGGTAGATTCTTTCTCATTCTTTCAAGTTTGAAAAAGTGCGCGCGAGGGAGAGAGAGAGACTGACGTCGAGTTTGGCACATCAAACTCGGCATGAATCTCACTCTCTCTCTCAAACTCGGCGTGAATCTCTCTCTCTCTCTCTCTCTCTCTCTCTCTCTCTCTGAACACGCATCGGGAGAAAAAACAGACGCGCTGCAGCCGCTGCTCGCTACTATGTGCAAAATGAGAAAGAATCTTCTGCAAAAATGCGGGTAGATTCTTTCTTTTTTTAATTGCTCCAATCTATTCGTGGGGAGCATCACGTGCTGGGAACCGGGCCCAGCGTCCCTCATAATGGGAATACATTAATGATTGACAATTGGTGAAAATTTGGGATGATTGAGGATCATTTTGGATGATTTAGGATGAAATAGAGCTAGATGATGACTAATCAGAAAGATTGTCTACTCAGCACTGAATTACTATCCTATCCCTAATTTCATGTATCCATTCCAAACAACCAATCACAATTGAGCC